AGGAGTATTTTAAATTTGTCACCAGATTGACCTTGCACGTGATTGGTTGAATGCGAGGAAGGTTCACACACAGGCAATTTTGAATTTGAAGGTTAGGTTATTGACAATTCGACAGTTTCGTGTCATTATTGTAAATTTTGTGTTCTTAAACCCTTCTTTATTATATTTTGAAATAAATACACTCATAACTTCAATGTTAATTTGTATGTTTAGTGTTGACGATAACAAACGAAAATAAATACAATAATAAGTAAATAAATAAATAATAATAATTATTAATTTAAATTTACCGCCAAAATATCTAGTGATATTTTCTGGTGATTTTTCCTAGTGTAAATCTGACTTTCGCGTTTACTCCTCCTGGTTTAAAAACAGAGTATAGTCTAATAACAACTGATTATGGCAAATCAAATATTAAACAACTGTTGTATAAAATGATTTTTTAAAAAGTTGGTACTTACTAAGATATATACTATTCCACACATAATGGGCACCTGTATATTATAAGGTAGTCAAAAATAATAATATCACCCTTTTAGTAGTTTTGAACTTACCAGTCATTTATTTGTTACTGTAATCTAAAATATTTCGAAGGTTATGAGATAAGAAAGCAATGAAGTTAAAAAAATCAGTCTCATATTATTCTGGTTTTACATTTTTAAATGCTGGCAACCCTTTTCTTGTACCTATTTTACTGGGAATACCTCGTTTTGTATAACCCAGCTTTTGATACTGTAGGGTAGGGGATTGACGCAATACACTATTCCTAGCAGCACGTACGTCACTGAGAAAATCATTCCAGACATGTATGAGAGAGTGGTTAGCAAACTAAAGAGCGAGTTAGAAACGGCTGAAGATATATTATTTACAACCGATCTTTGGACTTGTTCAGTAAATAATGACGCATTTCTCAGTTCGCACTTGACATCAGCAAGCTTTAAACTGAATCATGCCGTTCTAAACTTAGTGAATTTTCCTGCATCACACACATCAGACAATATCACAAGAGAACTGTTAGATGAAATGGGAAATACTCATCACTAAAATTCAAGCGGTTGTTCACGATAATAGCGCGAATATGGTTAAAGGTGCGTTGCTTCGTACTTACACTCCAGCTGAGCTTCTTGCGACAAGACTAAAAGCAAAACATTGCCCTCAGCCTGGCGTATCACTAGTATGATAGAGAGCGCGACATTCTTCTATATTTTAATGACCAAAAAGAGTATACCAACTAAAAAACTGGCAACTTTTCATAGATAGCTCAAAAAAAAGTTTGCAATGTGTGTTACTGCATAATTCAATCCCGATCATTCAACTACTCTTAAGGAAGAATATTAAACTTGTTTTAGAAAAACTTAATTTATCATCGTCAGTGGTCAGTGTGTGTAGATTTAAAAATGTTTACTTTGTCTGTGGGACAGTCGTGCGTAAAGTAAACACTGGAGCAGGAAAAAGGAGCCATACAGAATGAACATGACTGTAGGGAAAGCTAACATCGTTCATCAGCCAAGAACAAATCATTCTTCCGCCACTACATATAAAATTTGGGCTAATAAAACAGTTAGTTAAAGCTTTAGATAGGAATGGCTATTGCTTCAAATATATTTGTCATTTATTTCCTGGTCTCAATATAGAAAAGTTAAAAGGAGGAATTTTTGATAGGCCGCAATTAAGCCGTACTCTTATAAACAACGATGATTTCACACAACATGACTTAGGTTGATTTGGAAGGAGGAACCTTTGTGTCAATTGTCAAAATTTTTTTGGGGAATCAAAGCTGAGGATTATTTCAAAGTAGTAGACAAATTGCTCCAAAATTTCTAAAAATTAGAAGCTAATATGAGTGTCAAAAACGGGAACGGTTCCACCGGAAAAATATCACGGCCGTTGGATATCAAGAATCGCCATATGATGGCAGACTACTGCTGGAAGTTGCAAGGACACTGTCCAGACTAAAAACACCATAGAAAATCCCATACAAAACGTTTTTCTTAACTCTTATTGACATGTTTTTTTATGATTAATTTTATTATTTTTGTGTCATTTATAGCACTTTGTTTATTTGAAATCATTTGATAATAATAAAATAAACGTTTTAAAAATATTCCCCTCTTTTTAAAATTCAACAAAAATATTATTTTCGTATTCAGGAAACTAAAATTATCTAAAATTGACTAATAAGCCCTATGCTGCAGAATCAATTTAATCCGATTTAATAATTTTCGTTTTAAATCAATTTTTTTTTAGCGATTACAAGCGCAAATATGTGCGATGTTGATGTTCGACCAGCTCTTTATAGTTCAGTCGTATTAACAGGAGGAAATTCTTTAGTACAGGTGCCCAAAATAAATAATTTTTGTAACATTTTTATTAATTAAATTATTTTTAGGGTTTTAGTGACAGATTAAATAAAGATTTACAATCGAAAACACCCGGTTCGATGCGTTTAAAAATGATAGCAGCTAACGGTACTGTGGAAAGACGTTTTGGGGCTTGGGTGGGAGGTTCGATTTTAGCCTCGATAGGAACATTCCAACAAATGTGGGTTTCTATGCAAGAGTATCAAGAATCTGGTAAAGTTCAAATAGATCGCAAGTGCCCTTAAACGATTTGAATTTATTCTAAAACAAAATCTTTAACGAGGTTTTGATTAATGGTTTCATTTTGTTTTGTATTTTAATTTTAATTATAAGTATAAAATATGTGTTTTAATGTTGTGTATGACTGAAATTGATAAAAAATTTTAAAAGTGGGTCTTGACATAATGAAGCTTGACATAATTAATTTCTTTTTAAATATTTATTAATAAATTAGTATAATTGATATTAATTACTTATCCGTGCTAAACATTTTTGGCAGAAATCGATTCCCAGAAGAGGTGTTATTAGTATCGGATAGTCGTTTAATTTGGTCGGAAAGGTCACCGATACGTTCATCTTTCATTCTTAATAAACTTTCCAAATGCTCAACCTAAAATGAAACACATAATCAAATTTCAAAAACCAGATTTAATTTTTTTTAACCTTGTTTTTTAATGTACTTATAGCACTTTCTTTTTCCTCGATATCCTTTTTCATATTATCATACATATCGGAGGGTACAATTTTTTGATCTAAAATTTTCGACCCACTTTTAACCTTAATTGGAACTACTTCGCCGGTAACTTGAGCAGATAATCCTTCGACAACATAAATATCGCTTCCAGGTCTACTATTATCTTTATCACTTTTCTCATCGACGCGCTGTTTAACATTAAATAAAAGCTTTTCGATCGCTCCTGGAGTAGATTTGGCCAACTCCTCAATTTGTTGCGTGTTTAGATGGATACGTAATTTCGCTAAAACTCTTTTGTTCAATATATTCCAGTTGATGATTTTTTGTGCCAAAGCATTTTTCGGACTGTAATTGTGTAAATCGACTAATTTTGGAAAATGGATTTTGATGATTTCCGCCAATGGAACTAAAACAATTTTTTTTTGTCAATTTGACTCACGAGGAAGTGTTTAAAAGAAATAGTCACGTGTGGATTTTATTGTGACTAATGTGACAGATCTTGTATGATAATTTTACCTGCATCTGAAAAATCTCTGTGTATGTTACGTTTTGGTCGCGATATAGTAAAACCGTCTATCCATCTGTATATTTCTTCAACGTTAACGTCCATATTTTAATTTCTATTTTGACCAACCGTGGATAAGTGTTATGATGCTACTGATAATTTTGATATGACTTTTATAAAACTTCAAAATTTGTTATTGTTATGTTTATATACACAACGCAACGCTGCTTCATTCTTCGAAGATTAAATAATAATCTTTTCGCGCTCTAAGTGTCGATGGCGAAACATATTTTATGTAATTTCTTATTAAATATTTAAATATATCTATGTAAAATTTCTATCATTCACTTTTTCTGTTTAAATTTGCGTGTTTCTACTCATTATTTCGATTTTTTTTTAAATACAATATAAAATAAAACTATATTATTAATAAATAAAATTGAATAATATAAAGTAATATAAAAGTTTGGAGAGATAAATTTATTTAGACAATAAGCCTACCTTATTAAAATCAGTGGAATAGCACATAATAGAATCGAATGGAACAGAATATATCCTATGTCCAAGAATGGACGCAGAGGGCTGCTTGATGATGATTTTTCAAAGATTAAATCTTAGAAATCAATACAAAACGAGATCGAAACATAACATTAAAATTTCCTTACACAAAAGTCGATAAAACAGGTACCTGTACACAAATAAAATCGTTATCTTTTTCACATATGATTATTTAAATTATTTTATTTTTATTATTGCAACTCATTTTTATTTTGAATCACCCCGATTAGATATTTTATGTAATCTTACGTAAACTTTGCCCGTTTCTTACCAAATACACCTTTCAGACCATAGATAACTAAATTTAAAAAAAAAAGTTATCCAAACGTGTTTATTGTATTATTATCTCTGTAAGTTTTCACTTCGATAGGTTCAACTCAAGATTATGGAACAACTTTAAAATTAAATCGAACCAAAATGTTCACGTACATTGATTTAATAATTTTAGCGTCCTCTGTGTTTCTTATAATTATTGTTAAGTTATTAACCGGAGAAGCAAGGAGTCCGATTTTCAACGTTTACCAACGACCAACTAAAATTTATTGGTTCAAAGTTGTTTTTATGTACAGTGTCTTAAAGTTTAGACAGGTAAAAATTAAGTATTCATTATAATTTTTAATTCATCAATTTATTTTAGATTGCTAATTATTTAAAAAGTGAACGAAGGAGAGATCTAGGAAAAGTCGATAAATATATTCTTCAAGATGGACCCCAACCGTTGAAAGACTCCGAATTGGTTTGCTTCAAGACTCCAATTAACATATTTGCATTTTTAATTATTATTTTTAGGCTGTTGATGCTGTATTTTTTAACGGTGCAAATTCGAAGGGTGATTATTTCATTATAGCAACCGCTAGAAGAAGTAATAAACTCGTGGATGGATTTATTTATATAAAAATAAACGATTCTAAATTGGGATTACTTGAAAGTCCTAAATTACCGAGTACTGCTCTTTACCAATTGGAAGAAACGCAAGAATACAAAGCAGAAGGAATTGAAATATCCGTAATTGAACCAATGAAAATTTGGAAAATTAAATACAACGGAAAAATGAAATCGGCTGATAACAGAAGTAAATGGTACAACGTTAAAATCGTCGGAGAATTTGTCTCAAAATTACCACCTTATAACGTTGATGTTGATATGGATCCTTTTATGATGGCGAAAGCTTTGGCTGTTGAGCCATGGAGTAGAGATTTTTTTAGAACTTTAAATGAGTAATTACTAAACTAAAATTTAAATTTAAAATTAATTATTTATATAATTTTGTTTAGAACTCATCAAATGCATTATGAACAATTTGGTGATATGTTAACTGAAGTTGAAATCGACGGAAAACCTTTCAATTTAAAAATAAACGTTTGCAGAGATCACAGTTTTGCCTCTAAAAGGGAATGGAGAATATTTCACCGTTACTCTTTGCATTTTATTACGGTTGAAAACGGCGATAGAATTATGATTGGAGTTGTTTCAATGCCCGTAGCTATTTCATGGTGATTTTATTTCATTAAAAATTAAATTAATCTATTAATTATTTTTGTTTTAGTTTTTCAATGGGTTTTGTTTACTCATCAATTGAACAAAAAATGTATCCAATTGAAAATTGCGATTTAGTCCTTCATCAACACGGCGAAAACGGCGAAGCTCCTTTTGATTATGGCTTTTCAATTTATGCCGGACATAAATCGTACGTTATTAAAGTCCATGTCAAGGAATCGCCACATTTTTATATTAGTAAGGATTGGGAGGCCAAATTATTCGAGAGATTATGTACGTTTAAAGTGAACGGTTTAAAAGGATGGGGTGGATCCGAGTGGATGTATCGAAATATCGAGGGAAAACATGTTTTAGATTATGAAAAAAATAAAGAATTTTTTTAAAATATTAACAAAATAAAATTTCATTTTTATTTGACGTTTTAATCAAAATAAATACAGGAATCTGTAATTTATAATTCAAACTTGACGTTGACAACCTAACCTAAACAATAAATAATTTTTAATTTAAACTAACAAAATAATTTTTTCATCTTCTACTTAATTCGTTCGATAACCAATCAAACCCTTCGTATAACCCACTTCCTTTCGTAGCGCAAGTCGATTGCAAAAAACAATTATTTTTTAATTTGGTTAATTCTAATTTCTCTTTTAACTCATCCATATTCATAGCGTTCGGCAAATCTTGCTTATTTGCTAAAACCAACAAAACGACGCCTTTCATTTCGTTTTCTTGAAAAATATTGTGCAATTCTCTTCGTGCTTCGTCGATTCGTTCGCGATCCGTCGAATCCAAAACGAAAATTACTCCTTCGGTGCTTTGAAAGTAATGTTTCCATAAAGGTCGTATTTTATTTTGGCCCCCGATATCCCAAACGGTGAATGATATGTTTTTATATTCCACCGTTTCGACGTTAAAACCGATAGTGGGAATTGTTGTCACAATCTCGCCTAATTTTAATTTATAAAGTACGGTCGTTTTTCCCGCGGCGTCTAATCCTACCATTAAAATACGCATTTGCTTTTTTCCAAAAAGACGAGTGAACAAATTTGATAAAGTTAAACCCATTTTTTATAATTAATTTTTAAATGATTATATCATTCAATAAATGTTTGAACTAAACTTTTAATGGTGACCAACTTTAAAAAAATTAATTTTTATTGGTTGATTTAAAAAAAACAACCTCAAAAATATTAATTGTTATAAATCAATAAATATCATAGTTATTATATACAATGTAATAATGATAATAATTATTATTATTAAACAATAATAACGATTTAATTAATAAATTAAATATAAATTTGTTACTAAATTCATGTTGGAATTTTTGACATGTCACCAAATAATTTTTGGGGTTATAAAGTTACAATTATTTAAACAAACTTAAATTTATTCCTTTTTTGATTTGTCATAACAACAAAAATTCGATGTCATAAAAAAATTATTCAGCATTCGTTTTCGGTTAAGTTTGGATTAAAATGGACAAAATTCGTAGTAATCATTCCAGATATCAATCTCGCCTGTCAATAACGAATGGTTCAAAAAATTACTATCCCTCCAGAGATACGATTTATTTTGAAGATGATTTTGCCGACGATACAGCCTTGGAGGAAGAAATTCCTGAATATCAACTTGCCGAGATGCAACGTCGCAAAAAACATTTCGACGAGTTCAAAAAATTGTACAACAATAAATTGGTGGAGAAAGAGGCGAGGAAACGAGCGGAAGAAGAAGAGAAACACGATGCGTTTTTGCAACATCCCATATCGATTTTGTTAAGCAAATATGGATTTAAAATACCGAAAAATAAGCAAATGTCAAATAATAATTTACAAAATTTGGGTGATTATAAACGGACTGGGTATCGAAATGGAAGTAGAAGTAGATGCGAAAGTTGGGGTAGTTCTAATAGTAGAACTAGGATTAATTGTCCACCTAACGAGTTTGCTTTATCTGATATGGAAATTGTTGATATTTTTCAAAGAAGTACTGAAAGCTTTTTAACCTATGAAGATAAACCTATGCAAAGTGAAGATGAATTTTCGACTAGTAGCTCAGTTAGGGAACACAATGTTAAATTACGAGGAGATATTGCTGAACTCGAACAACGATTCAATAATATTTTACAATCATTTCATACAACGACTCCTTTACGGTGTCGTTTCGTTAACGATATAAAGAGGAATACAAATGTTAATAACGAAAAATTTGGTAATTATTAATTCTATTATTTTTGTGTTAATAAAGTATTGTTACAATTTCATATGATTTGATGATTCAAAATTAGGTTATTTTTAAAATTAAACACAATTTATTATCTTTTTATGTTTTTACTTTACTTGGACATATTTTATTATATAAAAAATTCTTAATATTTGACAACTCGCGGTTTCGCTAATTCCAAAATCCTTGGGGTTGGTTTATATTTTAAAGCCCCTGGAGAAATCATAAAAGGATTTTCCTTCAAATCTGGTTCGGCTGATACAGCTATTGAACGCGGTGTTGCTAATATTAAATCGCGTTCAGTAGCTAATAAAAATTATAATTATTTTTCCAAATTTCAATTTATAATTAAATTTTTACCTTTATATAATAATGCACCTGGCTTTACCGCTCCTGTATCAATTATTGACTCTTTTTTAGCCAAACGTGGAGGTAGTACAGTCAGTTTTAATACTCTTTCAGTCGGAACATAATTTAAAGCACTCTCCTTCACCTAAAAAAATATTAAGCAATTATTTATGAATACTGTCCATAGAGCCCTATAAGCTCTATCTTCCTATAAAGCTAATCAAACATGCGACCATGAAAATCCTGGAATATAATATGCACGATATTTAATAAATGTCTTAGAAGAGATGATATTCCACTAGATTGTCTCAAATAATCCCCATATACAAGAGAACTACTCTTCAGAAACAAATAGATGACCTGAGGGGCATTATAGAAGGTCTAAAAACCCTACAAAATCTTAACCCTCTAGTAACCACCAAAGGGAAGCATCAAAGACGCTTACTGAAAAGAATTTATCCTGGTCAACTTATGAAAATAAGCAAACCAGAAATCTGTTAAGATACAAAACAAAAGCGCCTCTTCGTTTACACATTTTGGATTTTGCACCGTCAGAGGATGTAAAAAGAATCCATGAAATAAGAAACATTTTAGGAATGCGTGTCAAAATCGAAGAGTACAGAAAGCCAAAACAAATGCCTCAGTGCAAAAGGTGTAAATGTTGGAGCCACACCAAAGCTTATTGCCACAAAAATCCAAGATGTGTTAAATGTGCTGGTGAACACTGGACCAGCGAATAATGCACTAAAGCCAAAGAAATCCAACGTCATCACTTGGAAGGTTATATGGAAGGATCCTGAAAATTCGGATAGAAAGGGAAATTAAGGAGGATGAACTGATCTAACTTGATGAGTAAAGAGAGAATCCCACTTAATGTTTGGAACTAGGTACCAACAGAAAGAAACAAAAGAGAAAAAAATTGATCCGGGATAACGTGGAGATGAAAAGGAGAGGCCAAGAAAAGCTGCAAAAAATACAATATCATTTATGAATACTTAGAAATATTTTTTTGTACCAGATGTTTAGGTGGTTTAACAACATATTTTGCTGTAACTTTCCGTGGTGTCGACATAATATTTATTTTTGAATGCATTTCTTCTAAATCGGCGCGAGGTCCACGCTAAAAAAGAAAAATAATTTATGTTTAATTCGCAATGATTTCGCATAAAATATTACATCGATAGGATCTGGTTCAAACACTTTTTTAGGTTGAGCTTTTACCACAGCCCATTCTGAAAATTGTTTCTCCCGATCCCCCGATCCGTACGAACTTCCATCATCGTTACCTTTCCCCTTTTTACCAGTTTTAATTCTGGATACATTTTTTCTGTCTCTCGTCAACAACTTTAATTTTTTATCTCTTTTGGCTTTTTTATACTCATTATAAATACTATCCCAAGCTTTTGCGATATGTTTATCCATATTTTCGGCATAATTTTTTAACGTATTTGGGTTACCGGCAAAAGTACGTTTGTTTTCGTACAATTTTCGCAACACTGGAAGACTAATATGTTTATCTCGGCTTTTTGGTCGACAGTTTAAAGCTTCTGGACGTACTCCTGATTCAAATACGTATGGTGGTTCTTCGTATTTAGGTGTAAGTGTTTTAGGTTTTGATAATACTTTTAATCTCCAGTTATTACTTTCGTCTTTCATTTCCGGCTGCGTTGTTAATATTGGTTCACTCGCAGATTCTATTGCCGGGTGTCTTCCAAAACGTTTATTAGTACTCATTTTTTATGTTTTTTTTTTAATTAGTTTCTATTAATTTTTAAACGGGCATTTTTAAATGTCCAAGTAAAGTAAATATGAGGATTTTTTAATGAAACATTATTTTTACTGAAATTTTTTTTTGCTGTTAGCTTAACATGTTATTGACAAATTATTTTGACAGTTCTAAGATGTAATGTCAAACAAATTCTAACATCTAAGAAAGACAAAGCGAAAGGCAGGTAACTGACATGGTAACATGGTCATAATTGGACGAAATGATGTAGCAATAAGGACGTTCCTTGATTTAAAGTCCAAGATTTGCGGATAAATAGCTCCATAGATGATTTACTCAAATATTTTATGTTTAGATATTATGGAGGCGAAAATCCACCATGGGTTGTAGAGCCAAAGAAAGAAGAAGAAGCATTAGTACTTTAATATCTTGCAAACATAAAAAGTATATATATAACATTTTTGTCATAACTTTTGAATCACTATTCTTCGAGTACTTTTTGTAAGATTAATTTGGCTATTGAAACATAGATGGTGCATTTTATTTAAAACTGTCATTTCAATTTTTGAAAGGAATTAAAAAGGTGACTATTGATGGAAAAAACTTAATAAAAAGCGCCTCTTTTTTAATCTTGTATATTTTCTGATTAATTTCCATTCTCCAATACTATAAACATTCAAAAAATAAATGCCTCACATCCTCTTGATTGTTTTTTTTAATAAAAGCATGATTATTTCGATGTTTTTTATTTCTTCAGTCTATGTTTATGTTGAATTAATTATAATACGTATCTTTTTAATAATTATTTACAGTATTTCCCTTACTATACTAAAAAAAATAAAATAAAAATAGATGTTTGATAATAAATAAAAATTAACTTTTCATACTCTTCCACCAGTTTATTCTTTATACTTTATAATACTCAAAAAAAATATCTTCCTTTTTAATTATTATTTCTTTTAATCAGGTAATGATAACCGACACAATTATTACTGTATACAAGATATTCTACTCCACTAATAATCATATTTTTAATGTTTCTATATAGTACATGTTGACCAGTCTTTTTTATACAATAAAATATTTTAATAACCGCCTATTTTTTTTATATTTACAAGAACAACGTTGTTTTTCTTTAATTCCTCTCTACTTAAAACTTAAAAAAGTTAACCTCCAAAACACATCTTAAGAAAGAATTAAAAGAAAAAATAAATAAAAAAGATATAGCATTTAAAAAGAAAATGTGCACTGATAAATCTGACTAGACACAGACATTATTTATAAATACTTATAGTTTGGTTAACTGAGTATAGAACATAAAATAAATTTAGTAAATTAATCAAATATAACCATTTATAAACAATGACATTGGAAGAAAACTAAAAAAAAAAAATAAACACCTATCATTTTTCTTATTTCTTATCAAAAAGGGGTAACTTTGAGCGAACGGCCCCTTCACACACAACTAATCGCGAACACTTTGTCCGTTGCTGCGGAGCTCCACTCACCGACGGAGTACTTAAAGAAGTCCCCGTTGTCTGTTTTTCCAAAATTCTTCGTAACGTTGCTATCCTCGAACTTAATTGTACCCCACCCCGATTAACTCCTGTATGACGATTGGCGCACTTTCTCTCAAAATACTCTACAATGCTTGAAATATTCGGTTGGGGACCTTGCCCCATCCAATCGGATCCTGTCACACTGGAAACATCCTCACTGCTATCTGTGTAAATGGAAGACGCACGTTTGTAAAGGAAATGCAGTTCGGCTGATTCGAGTTCATCAAGAGATCTTTGAGAACTAACCGCTGTACAACTATCCCATAAACTATTTGGAGATAAACATTCTCCAACGCTTGAATAAAATCCAGATTCACAAGAACCTCTTCGACGTGGTGGAGCTTCAACAGTTCCTATGAAAAAAGAATATCTTTATCAAAATTAAACATTAAATTATTGTATAAATGCAATACAAGTTCGTTTTTTTTCTATAATACCTGTCAAATGGTTGTAAGATTAATTGATTTTAAGATTAAGCATAATTAACTTGAGTAAATAATAGCTCATTATATGCGAGTAGAATCACTATACTTTGTCCACGACTATTGAAATTGATTCCATAAATTTAATTATTAAATAAATTTTTGAATTAAGTTTAAACGTCAAATGTGACAAATTCAATGTTACTAACTGTAACCAACTTCACAACAGTTTGTCAAAATTAAATGTCAATTTTATAAAACGTTTTTTTTAACGAAAATTAATTAATTTATGCTTAAATCATACGAAAAAAGGAATTTGTTTAGGGTTTTTTAATGTCAAACCTTTAGAATCTCCTAAAAAATTGAATTAAACTGACGTTTTTTGAAATTTTAACGTTTCAAATAATTATTATTAGTCTGTCAAGTTGGTTACCCGTGAATAATGATTAATATTCACTCCGTGAAAAATGACTACCTTTTTGTTTTAGAAAACTCATTCATAAAGTATATATTATAAGGTAGTCGTGGACAAATTGTTTTTTTAGTGTCGTCGAAGAAATTAAATTTACAGTTTCCTGTAAATTGCAGTACTATAACTAAAAATTAAAAGAACATATTTCACCAATTCAAAACAATGCAATCCATTAAATATTTCCGTATTAACAGTTCGTGTAATAAACATAATTATTTGTTTATAAATACCAGAAGTTATCTTCTTATTTAATTGTTAACTTTTTAGATTTTACCTACAGCCCCATAATTTACAGGAAACTGTAAATTTCATTTATTCGGCGGCGTTTAGCAATTTTATAATAAAAATTTATTTTTAGCTTTATTCTAAAACAATAAGAAATAGACCTGTCGAACCCTGTATTTCTGCAGTCAGAAATGAAATAACGAATTTAATAAGCGAATAATCAGACAAATGTGCCCAGACTCACTTTCACAAATCATTCCAAGTAAAATGTTTTGAAGCTGAGACATACTCTCCATAGTATCATTATGATACTTCATCAAGTGATAACTGCTGTTTTGGTACATACATAAATTGAATTTTTGGAATAAGGTATTCCAATAGAGGTCTAATTTTACAAAGTCTGTCTCTACTAGGCGCATTTTGTACATTATCACTGATATAGAAGTTGAATGACTTGCTCGAACCTCAGAAAAAAGTAATTTTTTTGTTATAAAGCGAACACGACTAAACACTAAAATAGACAATGTAAGTGCAATGACGAGTTAACTCGTCACCAGTCAACAACGTTTGGGCATAAAAAGACAAGTCACTGGGTCAGCAAAGTGTAAGTTATGTTGCATTTTGTGGGATTCATGTAGGTATAAGAAATTCCCGGTATATTGAATAAATCTGAATAACAATTAAAGCTAACACTAAGGCTACAACTAACACTAGACCTTACTTTTAATACACTTACTTGTAGTTGGTGGTGATCCTGGTAAAGATCTTGGTAATTCAACATTATCAGCAAATGCAGATAATTGTTCACAGCACGACGAAAAATTACCCAATAATTTCTTGACTCCTTGAAATTGAGTTAAAGATGCAAAAGGGTTTGTTGTACGTGGTTTATAATGCGGATCTTGACGGCACATTGTTAAAGCGTGACGTCGAGCTTTTTCACTAGGACTTGGATGAACCGTTAAAAGTGCCAATGATGATATATCTTCGGATAATGACCTTCTGTGAGCAACTACAAATTTAATTAAATCAAAATTAAGTTAAAACGAAAAGAAAATGCGCGATAAAAAAGAAAAATCTTTTATTATTAACCATATTATTGACACAAAAGCTCTTTTTTTTTAGTTTTGTTCCAAACAAGAACCATGTCCGGTTTATTATTAAATCATTCTAGAAGAGATCTATCCAAAAACTAACGCACCTTCTGAAAAACTAATCACAATAAGTAAAAAGTCGTTTAATAATACTTAAAATTTTAGCGAGGTTATGTAAATTTCTTACTTTATAATTTTAAAAACTAAGTTTTTCTAAATATATTTTCAACTTACTTTTTCTATGACTGGGTGCTTGAACCGTTAACGCAGCCAATTGTTCTTCACTCTTCGTGCTATTTCCAACCAACAATCTCCTTGCGTCACTTTCCTGACGGCTACTTAAAAGTCCTTCTAAACCACCAATAATTCCACAAAACGTCGGCCGACTTTTTGGATCAATGGTGCAACATAAAAAGGCTAAATGAAGAAAATCTGGGACGACATCGTGGGGGCATAGCTCCAGCAATGCCATATAATCAAGACCGAAATTATCGGTACGAGGTAATTGATCAGGATCGGCTTCAACCCGCGTAATCAACTCGCATAAAACAATCCCGTAACTAAAAACGTCACTACTTTCATCGTAATATTCGCCTCGAAGGCACTCTGGGGACATCCAATATGGTGAACCCACAGTACATAGTTTTCTGGGGCTTTTTGGGTCTGGGATGCGCGCTGCTAAACCAAAATCACCAACAACCGCTTCCATATCACCCGAATCAAAACGTTTTATTAAGACATTCTAAAAAAAAAAAATAAATAAATAAAAATTAATAAAAATAAAAGTTTTAACATTTTGAGGTTATCTTTAATAAAAGTGATTTTTTAAATTAAAAATTTGAGTGGATCAACAATTAAAATTAGGAAGGTTAAAAATTAATATATAAATAGTTTTTTTTTTATATATTTTTATAAATAATAATTATTTAAAAATAAATTTTAAAATGTCAAAAAAAAATTTGAGGTTATGTCATCTTACTGGTTTATCCGAAATTACTACGAGAAAAAAAACAGGTAAAAAAAATAAGATCAAAATACACTCAAAAATTACAAAAAAAAAAGTCTGAAATTTTTGGAATAGTGCCAAATTCGAAAACTCCATTTAAAAATAACTGGTTTTTCTCTCTTCCATCGAAAGACAACAAACATTACACATACCTTACTCGTTAAATCTCTGTGGAAGACGCCTTTCGAATGCAAATAAGCCATACCCTGGGCGATATCTAAAGCGAGAGAGATACGAGTGGTTTGGGGCAACTCGGTCGCTCGATTTTGTATTAATTGTTCCAAAGAGCCCCCATTTATAAACTCGGTGAGCGCGTGCAATTGACCCTCGTGGACGCAAACGCCCATAAAAAGTAAAATGTTTGGATGGGAAAGTTTGTTCATTAATTGGACTTCTTTCAGCATATTTCGACGATTCGATCGTAGAAGATTCATTTTTAGAACCATGATTTGTCCCGTTACTCGATGAGTTACCTAAACAAAAAGTTTTGACATTTATTGATTATATATATGACAGGGTATACTCTATTTTTTAATTCAGAGGAGTAAAATGAAAAATATTTGTCTAAAATGATTAACAACTAGTTTGTAAACAATCCATGTTGCTCAAAATGACTAAAAAATAGTTAATAGTCATTGAAAACTTATCTAAATATATAAGGACTAATTCATAGCAAGTCGAAGTAACTCAGAACTACTGAAAACGGCACCAACATTGTCCAAAATTGGCTTATAAGGCAACAAAATTGTTCAAAACGATTGAATATGGGTTGATAGCTATCTCATGTTGTTCAAAATCATTGAAAACCGATTGGGCATTGTTTAATACTTGTCTAAAATGATTAACAACTAGTTTGTAAACAATCCATGTTGCTTAAAATGTCATTGAAACTTGTCTAAATGTATAAGAACTAGTTCATAGCAAGTCGAAATTACTCAGAGCAATTGAAAACTTCACCACCATAGTTCAAAATTGGTTTATAAGGAAGAAAAATTGTCCAAAACGATTGAAAACGGGTTCATAGCTATTTCATGTTGTTCAAAATCACTGAAAACCGATTGGGAATCATTTAATATTTGTCTAAAATGATTAACAACCAGTTTGTAAACAATCCATGTTGCTCAAAATGACTAAAAACTAGTTGATAGTCATTGAAAAGTTGTCTAAATGTATAATGACTAGTTCATAGCAAGTCGAAATTACTCAGAACTGCTGAAAACTGCACCAACATCATCCAAAATTGGTTTATAAGCAAGAAAAATTTTCCAAAACGATTGAAAACGGCTTCATAGCTATCTCATGTTGTTCAAAATCATTGAAAAAGGGCATCGTTTAATACTTGTCTAAATGATTAACAACTAGTTTGTAAACAATCCATGTTGCTGAAAGTGGAACGGAAGCGCCCTAATCCACTACTAACCATACAGGAACTGACACAAGGCCTGATTGAGAAATGGAAAAGCATACCCCAAGAATCTCTTCGCAGACCTTGATAAACGTACAAGGTCACATAAGACAACATTTAGTCTCAAATAGGCGAGGCGCTAGATTTGATATATGAACACAAAATCTTCCCGATATTTTCTAGTTCTAGGGTTAGTTGTAGTTTTACACTATCACTAGAACTAACACAAGACCTAGAACTATAATCATTCGGATTTAGCCATATTGAGAGACGTGCGGCTAAATCCGATATTTTCTAGTTCTGGGTCTAGTGTTCGTTCTAGTTTTACACTAGCACTATCACTAGAACTAACACAAGATCTATTATTCGGGTTTAGCCGTCTTGAGAGACGTGCGGCTAAATCCGAATGATTCTAGTTCTAGGTCTTGTGTTAGTTCTAGTTTTACACTAGTAGTATCACTAGAACTAACACAAGACCTAGAACTAGAATCATTCGGGTTTAGCCGCCTTGAGAGACGTGCGGCTAAACCCGAATGATTCTAGTTCTCGGTCTAGTGTTAGTTCTAGTTTTACATTATCACTAGAACTAACACAAGACCTAAAATTAGAATCATTCTGGTTTAGCCATCTTAAGAGACGTGCGGCTAAACACGCACGTAAACAACACTAGAATGATTCTAGTTCTAGGTCTTGTGGTAGTTCTAGTGGCAGTGGTAGGTAGCGTTAGTTAGCATAAGATGTTATTATATTGTATATTTTTATTGAACTATGTCTGAAGACGCAACCTGAAAACCCTGCTGAAAACCCAACCCAACCCAACCCAACCCGAAACTTTCTAGTTCTAGGTCCAGTGTTAGTTCTAGTTTTACACTAGCAGTGTCACTAGAACTAAACCTGAATGTTTCTAGACGGCCGTCAATATCTCGAATTTTCCTAGTATAATTTTTGCTTAAAACTGACCAATACCCTTCTTTTTGGCGCTTCAATTTGAAAACACTCCTCCGAATTAAAAAATAGAGTATAATAAATAATAATCAGTAAGATTGATTATTGAATTCAATGATACATGTAATATTGAAAAAATTATAAATCATATTTAGTTCCTATCCTCAATTTAGTTATCTTTTTTGTACAACAAGATAATTTTAATGATTGCGCGATTATATTTTGAACAATTTCCTTAGATAAGATGAGAAAATAATTTTTAGAAAGATAAGAACGACCTTAGTACTTAAAATTAAAAAAATTTCATACTTATTAAGAATTAAAAGTCGTTTAATGTATCAAAAATGATATTAATTTGACCTAGAATGAAGAAAAGAAAAAGTTACCAGATTATACAAAAAAGGAAAAACGAACTTTTCCAAATGAATAACTTCAATAACACAATCTTCACTTTCACCAAGTTTTAATTAATATAATTATATTTCTATAATACCTTAAAAACTTCAGAGAAAAATCCGTGTCCAATTTTTTCTTGATGAAAATCATCGAGTCGATGTAATGATGCCACAGCATGTTTGAGAGCTTGACAAGATATTCCAGTTTTTAATTTATCTGAACGTGTCTTTGGTGGTTCCGATAACTCGTTATTGGGACAAAACACCTTCTCGTAATCTTGATCGGTGGGATCACATGGTGTATCATACATACAAGAAGCATTTTTCGTCGAAGAAGAAGATTCATTATTTTTCTTATTATTAGCAAACATTATAAATAACGTAGCTTAAAAGTTCGTCTATTTTTTGTTGTAATTAATCAATTAGGTTTTGGTTGAGCTTTAGTTTTTCTATAATATTATAAATTTTAAAATAAAGGGGCGCTCTCAGACGATTATTTTCGATGTTAACCGTCAGCCGATCTCGTAGTACATATTTGCGAACAAATCGAGTTAAACCTGAACTTGATGATATATCTTAACTCGATGTACCTTGTTGATGGGGCGCACATACTTTAAATTTTTCTCATTTAATGTACGCATTTGTGGCACTCAAGAAAAAAGTCATGGTTAATGTGACATCTGTCAAAATCTCTCTCTATCCTTTTCTATCTTAAACAATCTTCTATTTGTTTATCTCTTTCTTTGTAAAGTGTAATATATATTACTTTTTTAACACTTCAAAAATCGTAGAATTAAAATTTTTCGTTATGATAAAACCGAAAAGCAACGCACTAACTCGTTATTTGCCGTTCACTAAAGGGAAAAACGTTCGTAATTGACAGTAGTAGTAGTCCCCGGAGGAGAGTTGGCTTTCACTTAATTCTGATCGAGATGTTCGCACACGAAAATATGCAATTTTGAATCACTACTCACTTTTATATATTTTTTTTTCGTTTTTTCTTGGTATTTTTGGGTGGATTCGGTTCGTACTCGTCGTTTAATACGGCGACCCCAACAAGAGTACAGATAAAAAAGTTTATCCGAATTCCATTTGCAAACTGTCTAAAACCTGACTGCGCACAACATAATTTACCCGGGAAATTTGAAAAGTACAACTAAACAAAAATTTATTTAAACAAAATTTTTTATTAATCATGAATTAATTATGATTATTGACGTAAACTGAAAATTAATAAAAATAGAAGCTTTAAAATGGATACATTAAATAAATGTTATTGGTATTAACCTCAATAATTAATTTTTTTTTAAATAATCTTTTAAATATAATAATAAGACGGGGATTATTGACTTGTTATTGTTATAAATTATGCTAACGTAACGATGTTGTTTAATTTTTATTAATTTGCGAAAAATTTGTGTTATTAGCAAAAATTATATTCAGGTTACTTTTTCAAGACATAGATGACACCACTAAAATAACAAAAGTAAATTTATTATTAATAAAAATTTCTGTTTGTATTTAAAAAATTATTTAAATTTACACTAATTTTGTATCAAACCAACATTTTAAATAAAATAAATGCTATTTAAATTTAACTATCATCAACGAATTATTTTGTTTAAGAGGGTTGCGATGAGATGGCGCAACAAAATAGTATTTCAACAATCAATTTTCTTTTAAGTACTTATTAATAGCTTTCTTAAATGTAATGATAAACGGGAATTATTGGATTGTTATTGTTATAATTTTGCTAACATAACGATATTGTTTAATTTTTATTAATTTGCAAAAAATTTGGGCTATAAGCAAAAATGATATTCAGGTTACCTTTTTAAATCATAGATGACGCCACCAAAATATCATAGGTAAAATTTATTAATAATAAAAATATTAATTAAAAAAATTTTTGTAAATATTTTAAATTAATGTTAATAATGTTATTTAAATTTTAATCAAAATTCTATTAAAACTCTTTGAATATAAGGACCTAATATTTGTGTAATGATAATGATACACTGTTTTAGCTATAGAATAACAGATGTCGTTTCAAAATTTTAAAAAGTTATAAAGTTCAAATGATAAAAGATATATATTAAAAGAAACTGAACTAATTACAGCGTTAATTATTATAAACATTAAAAAAATTAAAATTATCTAAATATCTAAACATTTACTGTGTATAAAAAGCCAATAAATCATAAAAATTTTTGACAGCATTTTTGACTTGTCAAATTCTTTGACAGAAATGTCAATTAAAATTTGAAGTGTGTTAAATCGATAATTACACATTCTTCGAGATTTTTAAGTACATCTCAGTAAACTCTCAATTGGAGTCGTTTCGAGAAATCTCTGAAGATGACTTCGAGTGTTAGCCGTCGTGTCGAGTAGATTCATTGAGCATTGTCCGGATTCCAACAGCACTCGATCCCGGATTCTTCACTACACTCATTTTCCTTTTTTTATTAACGGCTTTTTTAGATTAACATTTCAATGAAACATTTTCGTTTTTAATTTATATATTATTGTAGGGTCTATTCAATAAAACCTTAACTATCCCCCCCAAAAATTTCCTCCTACGTGACATGCGTACTTTGTCTGAAAAAGCCCACCTGAAATCACCTCCTCCTTCTCTTTGCGCGACGGTCTGAAATTCAGCGACGAACGAAATTCGGGGAAATTATACACAATCGTTTTCGGGCTTTCAAGCAAAGCTCACAAAAATATAACTTCTTAATGTCTACATGTATCCTATGCAACATAAGTTTTCCATAGTTTTATTTTAGTGTTCATGTTGAGCTGAAAGTTCCTGGATTTTCAATCAGTATTGACCAATTTCAAGAGGGAAAATATTACTTCTAGGTAAATATTAAAATCAACAATTTACTGTTATGGTTAAATAATGCAATTTAGATTAAAAAGGAAATAATTTTTTGATATGGTCGATAATTTAGAGTGTTAGAGATAAGCTTTCGTGCCAAATGGTTACATATAACATGGTAGTGGGTGGTTTAGGGGTCAAATAGGAGAAAGGGGGTAAATTCTATAAGTAGAAACGATGTTAAATCTTGACCTATTTTATAAAAAAGAAAAGAAAACGTGAAACCGAATTTCTTTTTCAGTTAAAAAAGATAAAAGAAATTCTGTGATTTAAAAAAAAAGAAGGGGAATAAGAAATTTGATGTGAGAACATATCGATTTTGAGCGTTTCATAAAGTGGGGTATTTAAAGTGTTCAAAACATCCAATTTTATGGTTTTATTTTATTTTTGTAAATTAAAATCGTAAAAAAACAGGATGTTTTGTTAAATATTTTCACAATAACAACTTTATCGATAAAATTTGATTCTTTATAGAGGTTATAAAGGTTCCGGATTTAATCGATTTAATTTTTAATACAATTAAACAGTTAAAACTTAATGGAAAATAAATTACTGGTAATTAATTATAAATGGATTACGATCAATAACGTTCTTATTTTTTAACCTTCCCTAACAGAGACGAAGTGATTCTATAAATTATTGATTTCGTTTTGTAGATAATGGAGCAAAAGAACATCTTTATTCTACTTCTTTTAATAAATCTTTTACAAATCGATGCTCAACGAAATAATGGTTTAAAAAATAGCGATGGGGAAGAAACCAAAAATTTCGCAGAGATACAGAAAGTATTAAAACAAATCCCAACGCCGATTCCTTTAATATCATCAACGACAATACCCACATTATCAATGAAAGGAACCACGAAAAGTCCGTTACATCCGAATGTTCCAATAACCGGAAGTCCCAAAGAAACTAAACATATACATGTCGTACCAACTTATCGACCGAAAAGATCTAATTGTACACCACCGGCTATAGAACAATTTCCTAAACCGTTAATGGGACCTACAGCGAGAAAAAGTGGGGGGATTATTATACATGTTTTGGTTGCTATTTATACATTTATTGGATTGGCGATTGTATGCGATGAATATTTTGTTGCATCACTTGATAGAATATGCGAAGGTAAAATGCAACATAGCTTAATAGTGCAGGCATTGGGTAGTTATACAGAATTAGTTTGTTTTCAACAAATTTTACCAAACGCTTATTAATCAAATCTTTAAGTATTTTGGAGAAAACAGGTTGCGCCGATATAAGGCTAAAGTTTTCATATTTTATTTCTTTTCTTTTGTGTATTGGTACCACTTTTGCAATTTTTAATTTATTTTGAAATATATCCTTCTAATTATCCAAAACGTTTATATAACATTAATAGAATCTTTGTAAATGATCATTGTTATAAAAATGTGTTTATAAACTATTCCTTGTTTTTAAATCTTGTAAAAGATAATTTTAAATTTATAACCAAAATGACCTTGCTTGTGATTGGTTGGTTCAAATTGACGTTTAACTTTTTGACAGCGATTTGAACTTATAGGTTAAGTCGACGATTTTTATCTCTTTTATGTTCTAAACCGTTTTGTGTGCAATACTTTAATTTAATTGAGTTAATCAGTTACAAAAATCTCCAGAATCCAAAACTATACAATCAAATAGATTACTTAACTAATAGATGCAAAACAACCACATTAATTGATAGATTATATTAGAATTAATTTAATTTTTTAGAATTAAAATTATCACCCGATGTTGCTGGTGCCACTTTTATGGCTGCAGGAAGTTCCGCACCAGAATTAGCTACAGTTATTATTGGTGTTTTCTTCGCAAAAGATGATATAGGTAACATTAAAAGATTTAAACGATTTAAACTAATTTTTTATGTACATTTAAGGTATTTCCGGAGTTATTGGGTCAGCAGTTTTCAACATAATGTTCGTAATATCCGTTTGCGCTTTATGTACAAACACTGTTTGTTACTTAAATTGGTGGCCGCTTGTAAGAGATTGTTTCTTCTACGCGGTATCAATTTTAGTAATGTTAATGACGATTTTTAATGAAACAATAAGTTGGTAAGAAGAAATACTTTTTAAACAAATTCAAATTTATCAAAATTTATTTTTAAGGAGTGAATCATTGTTTATGTTGTTTATGTACGTTGTTTATTGCGTTGTATTACATTATAATCCGCAATTGGAAGCTTGGGCTCAAACGTTACCTGTTCCTTGTAAAATGAGAGCGCCGGAAGAAGAATCCGGTTTGGTTAGTTACAAAACATTAAACGAGGAAATGAAACGATCTAGTTATGGAAGTCCTGATAAAAATTTCGAACCTAATGAAACCGATGATTTAGGAAATTTAAGCGGGGCGCAGCTCAATCAAATTGCAAATAATCCCCCTGCTCCCCTTAATAACCAACAACCCCCTAAACAACCGGCTGCTCAAAATTATTATAGGCCTAAGGAATATGATCCAAACAAACCACCAGTCGATCCGTTAGAAAAACCTGTGGATGGTTCACTTTACGTTCGATTTTCTTGGGCGATTGTTTACCCTATACATTATATGGCAAAATTAACTATGCCTGATTGTCGAACGGATAAGTACAGAAATTGGTATCCTTTTACATTTTTTATGTCAATGATATGGATATCATTTTATTCATATTTTATGGTTTGGATGATTACGATCATTGGAAGTACTTTTAATATTCCTGATACGGTTATGGGGTTGACTTTTGTTGCAGCTGGAGTTTCCGTACCAGATGCATTATCCAGTATTGCAGTTTTAAAAGAGGGGTAAGAAAATATATACAGGGTAATTCGCATAAGAACCGACACCGAGCAGGGACATGTACAGTGTGTTAATTAATTATCGTACCCGACGTCATCATTGCATGTATGCAACCAATATCACAGTATTGGTATTTGCGCGATTTGCGTATTGCAATACCAATACTGTAATATTGGTTGCATACATGCAATGATGACGTCGGGTACGATAATTAATTAACACACTGTAGAAGACAATAAATTGAGATGATTTAATGTAACTTACCTCTATACTAAGTTGTACCCCTTGGCACACTCATAACGTACATCAAATTTGGTCTTTCTAGCTTAAAGTATAACTAAGATATTGAATGTCTTAAAAATTTAAGACTCATCATCTTAATTTATTGTCCTCTACATTTCCCTGCTCTGTGTCGGTTCTTATACGAATTACCCTCAAAATATGTTCCTTTAAATAATTTATTAATTATTTCTTTTTAGATATGGTGATATGGCAGTATCAAATGCTGTGGGATCGAATGTGTTTGATATATTAGTTTGTTTGGGATTACCCTGGTTTATACAAACGGCAATTATTAAACCTGGATCTCATGTTAACGTTATCAGTAAAGGTTAATTAATTTCTTTTATACAATAATTAAATTTTAATCAAATACATTTTGTTTTTGTTGTAGGTTTAACTTATTCAACTTTGTCGTTATTATCAACGGTTGTGTTTTTGGTGGGTGCTACACATTTAAACGGATGGAAATTGGATAAAAAGCTGGGGATAATTTTAATGATTTGGTATGTGGTGTTTATAATATTCGCCAGTATGTATGAATTAAATATATTTGGTCCGTTAAATCCTCCGGAATGTATTAGTTTTTATTAATTGGGTACTAAAACTATGAATTGATTTGAACAACGATGGAGATAAATAAGAAAAAAATGAAATGGTAGATATTGTTAAATAGCTTTTATATGAATTACCAGTTGTACCGTACCAAATTAGATGTTAAGTGTGTACGAAAGTGTTGAAAAAATGTTGTAGGAAAAATAATTTAAACTTTTTACTTCCATGTCGAGTAAATAATTAAAAAAAGTTTCTAAGGTGGTAAAGAAAGCAAAAGATAAGATTCTTTTTGATGATTGTGTTCTACTTCTGCAATATTTAAGAAAAAATGTAAAAGAAATTTGATATTAACCTCAAATTAAAAAAAAAACTTTAAAAGGAAAACTTCATCCTCTTAAATTTTAATTGTTATAAATGTTGTTGTTGTGCCAAAAATGGATTCCTATTTATTACTGTTGCTTAAAGTATTAATAATCCAATATTATAATTTCAAAACTGTCAATTTGACAATCTTCAAAAAGTAAGATATTTATTATTTTTTAAATATTTCATATGAAATATTAACGCGTGAATGTTTTAGCTTTAATATGGCATGAAAAAATTCTTTTAAATCGATTATTACAAAAAAATGTGTATGATTTTATTTTATTTTGTGATTGGTACTATTATATGACATCTCAAGTTATCTGCTATTTAAGCTGTCAAATTTTTAACTTTATCTTCCAAACGTTTTATCTTCCATTTTATTATGCTCGAAATGCACACTATTCTCTTTATAAAGCACACAAAGCTCGGTATAAATTGCATTAAAGAATATCCGTGCGATTTATGATCGTTTGGAACTAAAAAAAAATTAAAATTAAATCTATTATGTAAAATTTCTCTATTCTAGGATGTAGATATATTTTTATATAACTTCCTTAATCTATTTTTATTTATTATTTTCTTTATTACCGTTGATTATATCATGTTTGTTGAATCTGTGCAACATATCATTGAAAATCGTGCACAAATTCAACGATCAAATTGTAGATAATTAGATAATTAGAAAAAAGAATTTAGATAATAAATCTTGTAGTGGTTGTTCTTTCTTCTCTCAAGAAAACATATATGGATGAATAAATGTTGTTTTAATTTTAAATTCTTTTTAATTTAAACACATTTAGAAATCGATATAAATATTAATATGCAAGTGGAGATAATGGGATACAAAGCAGCAACTAATTCGAGGTTGTTCTATTATAACTCATTATTTTCAGAAAAGCTGTATACCGGGAATTTCATATAACTCGCAATATATGGATGCTGTAACCATAGTTATGAAACTACTATGCACTTGCACTGTCCCACGTTAAAATGCAACATAACTTAATAATAGTACAAGCATCGGGTTTAGCCGCACGTCTCTCAAGACGGCTAATGATAGTGTTAGTGTAAAACTAGAACTAACACTACACCTAGAACTAGAAACATTCTAATTCTAGGTCTAATGTAAGTTCTAGTGATAGTGGTAGGTAGATCTTTATTGAACTAGAACTAACACTAGAAACATTCAGATATGTTGCATTTTATGTGGAACAAAGTAAGTAGGTACACCCTAGTTTCTATGGAAACATAATTTTGTATATTGCATCTTAAGTGAAATTCACTGTATGTATAAAGTATAATTATTATTTACTTGGAAATAAGGCATAAAAAGAAAAAGTTAGCATCATAGTGCTGTGTAATTATAGCAAAAATTTGCTTAAATTTGTATTTATTTTATTTGAGATCGATTTATTTTTATTTGAGTTTATTATTAGATATCAATGATGATTGATGATGACAATAATAAAGCCTTAAATTAAAATTTTAGATTAATATACGTATTAAAACGTAGCAAAAAGTGTTTTGATTTATGATGAGTAAAAGTGTCGTTTTACTTCCAATATAACATGTTATGTTTTTCTACAAACGTTATTATAAAAATAATTTGAAATAAAAAATTTTTTAAAAAATCACATCAAATTATGCAACCAAACGTACAAACGCAGAATCGATAATGACATTAACATTATCATTTTTGACGTTTGCAGATAAAAAATTATTAAATAACATAGAAATATGTATTAAGATTATTAATGCACACACACTCACATTTTAAAATTGTATTAATCGATAAATGAAGGTTGTTTTAGCACCCAGCGAATAATTTTTGAGTATTTATTAATGCTAAATAAATTTAAAGTAAACAAAAAAAAATAAACATAAATAACTAATGGTAAAATATGAAAAAAATAGAAAATACGTATAAAAGTATTAAAAAGATTAGTTATTTATGGTGATAATACGTAAGTCTTATGTGCAAACAATGCAATCTATTCATTATTACTAACACCATGTAGAAGTGTCAAATTTGATCTAGTCAATTTAAAAAAGCATATATTTTGATGTAGCATTCAACAGTATCTGTTAATTACAAAAAAAAATAAAAGAAATTGTATAAAAATGAGCTGTAATGAATTAAATGGTAAAAAATAAAAGGAAATATAAGTAATTAAGGAATTTTAATATTTTTTAATGATTTTAAGAAAAAATTTCATACTACTTTTCATCTCTATCCTTGCATTAAGTCTGCACCACTTTGTGTTGAATGCAAAGAATTGCTTTCTATAAGCCAAACAATTCTATTTTAGATCCCACACTTTCGTTTTGTAGTGTTTAGCTTTTCAGAGAAGAACCCAAGTGGATGCCAAATTCTATCGATTTTTTATTGTGGAAAAGAAACTTTACCTGCAGTTGATTGTTGTTGATCCCGAATTTTTAATTTTTTTTTAATGATTATAATTATTAGTTGATTTAAAACGTCAAATTTAATATTTCATACCTAAATAAAAAACCATCATAAAAAAAAATTTTTAATAATAATTTGATACTTATCCTTTAAAAATTAAAGGTTGAAACTTTAAATTCATAAATTAATTATTAAACGTTAAAAATTCAATATAATCTTAAATTAAACGTCAATACGTCAATTTAAACTAAAATAAAATTAAGTTGGCAATAAATTTAAATTTAAAAAGAAATGTCAAACGACAAACAATTCTAACCTAAAAAAAACAACGGTATGAAATTATAGCAACAAAATTATTATGCACAATTTTTGTTCAACATTTAATTTATTCGAAAATAATCAATATTACCATAATACAAGAGGTGCTCGTGGTACAATGGTACCAAATATCGATTTCTACAAAACACTTTCCAGGTTAGATTTTTATTTCAAATTTTTTTTTATTACTTTTGCACCAATCTAAATATTTTCACAGAAAATAATATACCTTTTAACTAAAAAATCTCTGATGTCGAGAAGTGTTATGACGATAACTAAATGGGTTCCATTAGAATTAGAAGAGCACAAAACGATTTTCAACGAATGTAAAGCATTAAGAAAATCGTCGATTTGTTTCGATCAAAAAATTTGTTCGTTTTTAAATGGGTTTAAATCGAGGAATTTTTCTCGTGTGTTTTTAGAGGGTTGCGATGAAGTTTTGATTCAGGTAAAGATTAATTAATTTGTATTTTTTTAAATTTTAATGTATATTTTAGAATTTGGAGATGATTGTTGAAGAAGGTGTTTTGATAAAGGACGATTTTTTTAAAGTTTTTGGAAAACTAACAATGGAAAAACCCTCAAATTTGAGTCATTTTAAAATGATTTATTGGAAAGATGTGCTTTGGACATACAAAATGAGAATTTGTTATTTATTGTTACACTGTATTATTGGGTTTATTCACCTTTTTATTTATTTTGGAGAACAAATTTTAACTTTAACTCTAAAGTCAGTTTTATTTAATTTGATTGTGAAGAGATTACATTTTTTTTTGTAGGTTATCGAACATCCACAATCAATTATTACATTTAGATACAAAATATAATTTATTTAAATCAACACCAATTTATAATAATTCTTGCCCATATTTAATGTATCCAATGAAGAAATTATCCATAACAAAAATCCTTCAGGTTATCGCACAAAACCGAGCGGAACTTTGCTGCCATAAATTAATGGATTGTTTATTAGAAACTTATAAACTTTTCGATAATCGAGAAGATGAAGAAACCGGGTCGGATACCTCAAGCGTTGAAATTTATCGTGCTTTAACCAGACATATGTCGCCTCCCCATAAAAACACATCAAACGACTCAAAATCAAGCGAAAGAGAATTACACGAAAAAAACGCGTTTTCGAATATGAACGAATTAATTCGATGCGAAGAGAAAAATATTTTAGATCTTTTATCGATGGCTGTTAAAGTATCCCCAGGGATTTTAGGAAACGATGCCATCAAAAAATTGAAAACGGGAGAAGTTAAAGTTAGCACAAAAGCTAAAAACAAAGTTTTAGATTATTACCATCAGGTTCTTTGGGGCGAGGTTGGAATATTTTTGGAACATGTTGTTTTATGGTGGGGAAATGTACCACTTTCAAGTCGACCACCTCATTCTAGCCAACATTTAAGGGAATGGATTAATCAATTTTTACCAACAGGTAAAAAAAGCACATAATAGCTATAACCATAATTGCGCCATCTCGTTTAAAACTAATAAAGATTTCTGTATCTTCTACCCGCTTTGTGCCTATCTCTTGGGCGGTCGTCCTTGTGGTCTTTTGCCTTTTAGTCACCCATACATGCATATTCTAGTTCTAGGTATAGTGTTAGTTCTAGTTTTACACTTGCACTTAGCTGCCTTCTTTTATACGGTTCATTAGTAGGTTGAACAAGAACAGACTTAGTGAATCCCCCTGTTTGTGTCACTTCCTAATATCTAAGATCAATCACCACTACACATTGAAATAAACAATTAATTTTATGTTAGTTTTCTTTTTAATTTTAGCTGATGTTCCTCAATTTATTTTATCAGCTTTAAGTTGTCTTTCGGATGGTTTAGGAGTCCACATAACCTCAACATCTTGGGATCAACGTTTTAGAAAAGTTTTGGTAGCTTCAAAAGTACCAATAACGCAAGAAACCGGTGGTTATTTTGTGGATTTACTTCAAGATTTAGTCACACTTTGTAATCAATGCGAAGTAACGAACGAATGGATAATCGGGGCCCCATTAGATGAGTTACCTTTAGTTGAACAAATTCCGGTTCTCCATCGACTAGATCATTCCGTTCACACAACCCGGTTGTGGGCGATTTCAGAAGCGAAACGATTATCAAATTTATGGAACGTCGAATGCTTTTTTTTAATAACGGATAATGATGTGATACAATGTTTGTTGCAGCTAAATGACTTGCGTTTAGCCGACCACAGTTTGGAAATTGATGGGAAAATTAAATTGGGCGAACACGTTCAAGTTTGCGCGACAATGCGGGAAAAATTAGTTTCAGAAGTAAAAGCGAACATTGAAAAATTAAAAGAAGCAACGGCGCAATGCGTTGATTGTTTAGCTTGCGCTTGTAGAACGATTAGTTTAGCTAATTTACAAATGATTTTTCCTGCAGGAAATTTTTGGCGAATCGGATCATCAGATTATTATTCAAACAAACCTTTAGGGTATGTTGCGCAGTTTTTGGAACGAGTATTAACCCCCGTTTTAACATCAACGGAAGACCATCAAATCGGAAATATGATTTTAAAAATAATGTGCGAATCATGGTTAGATCACATTTATGTAAACAAAATTAAATTCAGTCAATGCGGAGCAATCCAACTTTTAACCGATTTTGCCTCAGTTAGCACGTGGATTATTAACTGTTCGATTATTTCCCAAGAAATGCGACGAAGAATGTTAAAAAACGAAGTTTTACGGAGATGCGAAGGCGTTGGGAAATTATTGTTAAGATCTCCCGGCGAACACATCAAAATGAGCGATAAAACGAAAAAAATCGAAGTTGAAGATGAAACGTCTAGCAACAAATCGGGAAAAACCGAAATGATGCCCGCTGAAATGTATGTTCCAAATCAAGAACAATGGTTGGAATTACGAGCAACGAGAAGAAGTGTTTTTATCACTACTTTATGTTGTAGTGAAATTAATCCTTTATAAATAATGTTAAGTTAAACACATTTTTGTATTTTAACCTCAAAACGTCAAAAATGACGTTTAAAAGGATGTGAGGTTAAATCCAATCAATATCCTTCTCAAAGTTGTTAATAATAATTCGAATTGTTAAAGTACATAATTGGAATTTATAAATAAAACTTGTTTTCAGACTTTGTACACGTTTAATAAATTGAACAATTAAAAAGAAATTGATACAAAATAACACGATGTCTCTAAGGCTAAATAATTAAATTTTTAAACACAATATGAGTAATTATTTGCTTTGAAAACGTGTTATTTTGTATTACCTACGTGGCATATTCATTAAAAATCCGTCGACGACTCGTTTCTTAACCACGAACCGGGAGAGAAACCGTTATAAAACACATCGAGCCGGTTCGTACCACATCAAAAAGAAAGTTAAGAAAGAAGGTTCTTAAGAAACCACCTCGGTTTGAATTTTATTCGACTCTTGCGATTGTTGGTTTTAAATAATTCCTTGTTTTTTCAATAAAAATCAAATAAAAATTTGTGAAATTCCTCAAATAGTAGGTAAGTGAAAAGAGAAATTCTTTAAATCATCACTTAAAAACGATTTATATATAGTTAAAACATAAATTTTTCTTTACAAATGAGTTTTTAATTAATTCTTGAAGGTTTAAATAAACGTTGAAGGACGACCAGGTTATTTAAAGTTATTTACTTTTAGGATGATTGTCCTCGGCTTCGTTGACTTGTCTTGTCCTATTGTACAATCGCTTATAGCGGTCGGAATCGTTGGATTTTTTACATTGATCGCTTTGTTAAAGTTTTACGCTTACGTTACGTGTGGTAGATTCGCTAGTAATCGAAAAATGAATGGAAAAACTGTTATTATAACCGGAGCAACTGGTGGAATTGGCAAAGAAACTGCTCGAGATATAGCCAAAAGAGGAGCAAAACTGATTTTAGCTTGTAGAAATATTGAAAATGCAGAAAAAGTTAAAGGTAAGTTATTTTTAAAATCTTTATTTAAAATAATAATTTTAATAAATTAATGGCAAAACCATAAATAAAGATATTTCTTAATCTAAGAATGTATTTTTGATGAATCTAAATATGATATATTAAGAAACAAGAAAAACCCAATCAACGAACATATAAACATAACAAAAATAGCACCAAGTCAATGAAAACAACACTTTTATCAACTCTACAGCATTGACAACAACACGGCAAATTTTAACATGGAACAGCATAACGACAGCAGTCTTGAATTTGGACCTTGTGAAACTCCTCCACAAGAATGCTTCCTGGCTTCCTGGACACCCGCCCACAAGGTGGTATGAAAGCTGAAATTCATCAACCCAACCACGTCTATAGATTAGATAATACTAGGCAAAAACCTTAAAAAGAGGAAGAAGAAAATTTGATAAATAATAGCGCCATCTCGTTCAAAACCAATTAAATGTAATTAAATCAGCAAGATTGACGTTTAAACGTCATTTTAATAATATAATGACGTTTCGAGTACAATATGTCACTTCTTGTAATGTCTGAGATCAGTGCTACCACTACAAATTGAAATAAACAACCAATATTATAAAAATTATTTTAAATTACAATAAAATATCTTCTTCTTTTAGATGAATTAATTGAATCAACAGGAAACGAAAACATTATCGTCAAAAAGTTAGATATCTCTTCATTAAAATCCGTTCGTGAGTTTGCTAAAGATATAAATTCAACAGAAAATCGTTTAGATGTTTTGATTCATAACGCTGGAACTGCTGAATCGAAAACTAAAGTAACTGAAGATGGATTGGAATTAACCATGGCTACAAATCATTTTGGGCCGTTTTTATTAACACATTTATTAATAGGTAAGATAAAATTATTTTTATGTATAAAATGATATCATTTTATTTTGTTGTTTTAGATCTTTTAAAACGTTCTGGACCAAGTAGAATAGTGATCGTTGCATCCGAACTTTACCGATTAGCAAAAGTAACAACAAACAATTTAAATCCAATAAACAGTTATTTTCCGTTATTTCTTTATTACGTTTCGAAATATGCCAACATTTATTTTACCCGAGAATTGGCAAGAAGATTGGAGGGAACGAACGTAACAGCGAATTGTTTACACCCGGGAATGATTGATTCAGGGATATGGAGAAACGTCCCAATTCCATTAAATTGGGGCATGATGTTGATTGTGAAAGGATTTTTTAAAACTCCAGTTCAAGGATGTCAAACTTCCGTTTTTCTCGCTGCCTCCGAAGAAGTTGAAGGTGTAAACGGGAAGTATTTTATGGATTGTAAGGAAAGGGGGCTCTCCGCGGCCGCTATGGATATGGGAAAAGCGAAAAAGATTTGGGAGGAATCCGAAAAATTGGTTAAATTAACTAATGAAGATCCAAGAATTTAATTTAATTATTATTTAAAATATTGTTTAAAAGAAAAAACAAAATTGTGTTTTGTTTTAATAAATTTGTCATAATCTGTGTCAACTTTTTTCGTTCGGGTGTTGTCACACCACAACATCCAAAATTCCTCGTAAAAATGTTACCCATTAAAAGAAAAATCAAAAATTAAATTTTTACTTTCCTGGATTGAAAACAATCTCTTAAAACGTAATCATGGACATGGCCAGCAATTTTAACGACGATGCACAACATAAAATTTATCCGAAACACAAAGAAAACTGGAGAATAAATGTTTTATCAGTACCAACTAAAAGAATCGAAAAATACGTACCACCACCATACGCAATATTTACCGGGGTAAATCCGGCGGCTTTAAAAGCTCCAATAAAACCACGCGATAAACAATTGGCGATGGCACCTTTAACGAAACTTATTAACAATAAAAAAACTTATGCCCATAATCCCGCAATAAGAAAAGATTATGTTACAATTATGGACACTCAAATCCATCACGCTTGGAACAACATTTATAATGAGTACAAAAAAGTTCGACATGAAAAGCATTTAAAATGGTTACAGTCTAGAAAAGGTAAAAGAGGGAAAAAACCACCTAGTAAAGGTGGCAAAGGTGCTAAAGATAGTAAAGCAAAAGGAGTTAAAAGCATCTATTCGATGAATTCCGCCGAATATAAAAAACATGTAGAAGAATGGCTTGAAACAGCGGCAAAACCTAAACCAGTTCCAGAAGCACCACCCGTTGATGTTAGTCATTAATTTTTAAATATTTCAGTAAAACCTCGATATAACAAAAATTAAAATTAGCACTAACACTAGCTAGTCCGTTATATCAAGGTTTTACTGTATTTTTATATAAAGACATAATTGATTTTATTTTCAGCGTGGACCTCATTGTAACATAGACGATATAAAAGAACACATAGATGCGTTGTCAACTCCCCCGACGGTTAAAGAGAAATATGTGGAACCACCACCTCCCAAACATCTAGTAAATTAATCAACTAAAATTAAATTAATCCATTAAAATGAATAATTAAATTTTAGGTAAAAGAGTCTGCATTATTATATGTACCTACCGAAAGAGTCCAACAATTAGCAACAATTCCACCTCGTATGTTAATAAAAGAACCTGAATTTAAACCCGGAGCTGTTAAACGAGGAGCTTTAATGCATAAAAGTAATCGTAACAAGTAATATCTATATTATTCAAAAAAATAATTATTTTTCAGCAACTGAGTACGATAACAAGATGTCTGTACCGCGCGCAAGAGCAAGTGCAAACGATGCCGATTTGAAAGAGGATCCTTTCTCTATTTCAAAGAATGCATTAAAATATAAAGCAAGCCCGAGAATTATCGAATTAGCTAAACCACAGGCTAGAGGCTAGATTAACACAGAAACAGGAACATTACTTTATACATATACACGTATAATGGTGTTAGAAATCTCCAAGAAAATTAAAAATTTAACCAAAAAAATCGAAAAATAAATAATTGTAACAAAAAAATATGGAAAAGAAGTAAAGTTGTTACAGTTTCTATTTAAAAAAAGTTTTATTTCTCATTTTTAAATTAATAATAATTTATAATAAGAATATCTTTGCTATTTTAATTTAAGGTGAAAGAATGATAATATCTCAGCTCCTGAAATACATATAACCCAATGAAATTTTCACTGCAGATAGTTTCAGATAAAATGTTGGATAAGGTTAGTTTTGTTTACAAATGTTAATCATCCCCGGAAGGAATGTTGCGAAAAATTAGTTTTCTTTTGAAATGTTAATCATCCAGGGGAAAGAATGTTATGTTAGGTAAGTTTTGTTTTGAACCTTAATTAAAGCGTGAAGGAATGTTAAGACAGGTAGCTTTGTTTTGAAGCTCCAATTAAAGCATGAAGAAACCGTGATTAAAGCGTGAAAGAATGTTATGATAGGTCAGTTTTGTTTTGAAACCCTCATTATAGCGTGAAGGAATGTTAAGACAGGTAGCTTTGTTTTGAAATTCCAATTAAAGCGTGAAGAAACCCTAATTAAAGCGTGAAAGAATGTTATAATAGGTCAGTTTTGTTTTGAAACCCTCATTATAGCGTGAAGAAATGTTAAGACAGGTAGCTTTCTTTTGAAACTCCAATTAAAACGTGAAAAAACCCTAATTAAAGCGTGAAAGAATGTTAGGCTAGGTCAGTTTCAGGTCTGAAGATGCACGGCTAAACCCGAGTTTCTAGTTTTACACTATCACTAGAACTAACACAAGACCTAGAACTAGAATCATTCGGGGTTAGCCGTCTTGAGAGATGTGCAGCTAAACCCGAATGTTTCTAGTTCTCGGTCTAGTGTTAGTTCTAGTTTTGCACTAGTACTATCACTAGAACTAAACCCGAATGTTTCTAGTTCTAGGTCTAGTGTAAGTTCCAGTTATATGAAATTGATATTGTCAAAATCTTATTTGTCAAACGTCAAACATGAAAAAATTTGCAGTGAAGATCCTTACTTAAACAATGCTCAATAATAATAACAAATCGTTTAAAACAGAAGTAGTAAGTATTATTAACACATTTAACAGATTTTATGATAATATTTTTATTAGCGAGATATTAAAGACAGCTATTTAGACGCAGTAATAAGAAAGGGGTTAGATTCGAACATAGTACCCCATTCACTCTTTAAGACAGAACTGGTAAATCAAAAACTTTACTTTACCTATTCTATTTGCTTTGGAAATAAAAATTTTTTAGCAAGAAATTGAAGATAAATATTATCAAGAAGTACGAAATGAACGATTATATCGTCTATCAAAACCGACAAGTGTTAATAAAAAATATAAGCGACCGTCATCTCCGAAACACATTGTAGCTGAGTCCGCTTTAAAATACAAAGCAACAGATCGAATTATAGCAATATCAAAGCCAAAACGGTATAATTCGGCCCCTAAAGGAGGAATCACCCCGGGTTCAGTGTCGCACCAAGCTTTGGATCATTTGAGTACTAAAGAAAAAGTTAATAAAACGCATTGTATTTAAACACATTTTTGTGTTTTTAGCGACCAATAAAGAATATGAACTCTCCATTCCACGATCGCGTAAATCACCGTTCGGTGTTGATTTTAAACAGAATCCTTTTTCACCGTCAAAAGCAGCAATGAGATATATAGCATCACCTAGAATTATTGAGTTAGCTAAACCGAATGATAGAAGGTAATTATTATAATGTACACAAGAAAAAATAAAAATAAATAAAAATTGGAAATATAAATAAGTAAATATAATTTGTGCGATTTTTAGATGTTATTTTTTAACGCCATCTATTAGAATTATACAGAAACTGTATCAATGAAATTAAATATATTACGCAAATAATCAGAAATAACATAATTATATGATCAACATAAGAATCATGGAATTAAAATCTACTCAAATACGCATTTGGTTCAATATCCTACACTTCAAATATATATTTTTTTTAATTTTATTTTAATGAGCGCCATCTATGAGGCGATTACCAAGCTTGCAGCACCAGGATTTATTTTTAGAAATAATAAAGTTGTGAATTTAATTTTTATAAATCACTTTTCTTTAACACTTCAATTTGAACTAGATTTAAATTGTTTTTTAACATTTAAAAGTAAAATTGAAAAAATTAAAATAGAATTACATTCATGTTGGTAACACTACATTATTTAATTTTAACTAACCTTCAAAAAAAAACTAATTTCATCAAAAATAACCATGAAATTAATCAAAACATGTAAGTGAAACTAATATAATTGTCTCAAAAGCAGTATTTTTCAATAAAACCCCCCCATTTGTTGTAAAATTAAAATGTGTTCTCCCCCTTTTGACACATAACCTAACATAACCTCAATTTCAACATTTTAATATTTGATCTTTGGAACCATGATCGACTATCGTAACGAGACAATAACGATTTTATATGGTTCAGAGACGGGAAATTCGCAAGAACTAGCCGAGAGGATATGGCGTGAATCTAAGTGTTATTATTTTTCGGGCCCCATACTTTGCATGGATGATTACAACGTAGAACATCTCATAAATGAAACTTGTGTAATATTTGTTTGTTCGACAACGGGGCAAGGCGAAGAACCCGAAAATATGAGACGATTTTGGAGGTTTTTATTAAGAAAAAGCCTTTCTAAAGATTCATTAATTAATTTGAGGTTAGGTAAGATGATCAGAAAAGTTTAATTTAACTAATAAATTTATTGTTTATGTTTCTAGATTTGCTGTTCTTGGTTTAGGTGATTCTAGTTATGTTAAGTTCAATTTTGCTGCAAAACGTTTAAATAAGCGATTAAGTCAATTGGGAGGAAATTGTTTACAACCTATTGGGTTGGGAGATGAACAACATGATTTAGGACGTGATGCTGTTGCTAATCCTTGGATTGATTCGTTATGGAATAAATTAAATGAGGTTTATCCATTACCTAAAAGCATTAAACCTTTATCAAGAACTAATATTGTACCAAGATGGAATGTAAAAACTAAACTTTTAGAAAACGTTGTTATTAAAACATCTCAACAATCCATTTATTATTCTACAAAACCTGAAACGGAATTTACTGTAAAAGTTTTAGACAATATTCGAGAAACTTCTAAAACCCACTTCCAAGATGTTCGATTACTTCGTCTTCAAACAGAAGGTGAAAAATACCTTCCTGGAGATATTATTATTTTAAGACCAAAAAATCATTTAGATCAAATAAAAGAATTTGAAAGAATTCTTCAAGAAAACCAAGTTAATATTGATGAAAACACTATATTTTCTGTTTCACAAATAACTGGAGATGTCCCAGTTCCTAATCCTTTAAAATACCAAGTAACCTTTCGACAATTATGTGAAGAATATTTTGATTTAACAGCCGTTCCAAGAAGATACACATTTTGCGTTTTGGGTCACTTAACAGATAACGAGTTAGAACGCGAAAAATGTAACGAATTTATTTCACCAGAAGGTCAAGATGCAATGTATGATTATGCTACAAGACCTCATAGAACAATTGTTGAAGTATTACAAGATTTTCCACACGCGACAAAAAATATTACTCACGATATTTTATTTGAAATTTTTCCCCCCATAAAACCGCGCGATTTTTCAATTGCGAGTAGTTTTAAAGCGCATCAAAATGAAATTCATATTTTAGTTGCTATTGTTAAATATAAAACTAATTTAAAAAAGGAACGAATGGGGTTATGTTCGAACTTTTTAGCCGGATTGAAAGTTGGTGACAAAATTTCAGTTTGGACTAAAAAAGGAACGTTTCAATTTCCGAAAGAAACGGTACTTAAATTTTGGTTATGTTTAAATAAATGAGTTAATAAAAATGAATTTTAGGATTCACCTGTGATTATGGTTGGGCCGGGAACTGGTATGTCTGCTTTCCGTAGTTATATTCATGAAAGGGTCGCGGATGGAACTGCAACTAAAGAAAATTTAACACTTTTTTTTGGATGTCGAGGTGAAAAAACCGATTTTTTATGCAAAGAAGAGTTTTTAACATTCGAAAAAGAAAATAAATTGAATTTATTTGTTGCATTTTCTAGAGATCAAGATTACAAAATGTAAAATTATATATATTTTATATACAGGTGTGTCAAATGTCATTTTTGTCACTTTTTTGACATTTAAAGTTGTCAACGCGGCGTTATTTCGTTACTTTGATTGTAGTTTGCTGATTTAATATTTTCAGAAAACGCGGTTTTTCTCGATTTTTTTCTTATACAACCATATGATTTGATATGTTCATCGCATAGAGGGATTTATCCTCTATCAAAGTGTGCAAAGAAAATATATACATCCCATTTGAAATAACAATGTTGGTTGCCATAGCAACGAAACAAAAAACAATACAAACAAGCAAATATCGCCAAAAAATGCGCCACGATTAATAAAGAAACTTGTATTTGAAACGTTAATCTTTCAAACCACAAATGGCGAAGTTATTGGCTATATTCCAGACATTTAACACACACTGTATATTATTATTTATACAGCCTGGTTCATATGTATAGAAATGGTCAATTATGACCCTGTGTATATTTTTTTAAATAATTTTTTTAACTTTTTAGTTATGTTCAACATAAAATAAAAGATAACATGGATTTAGTATGGAATCTTTTAAAGAATGAAAAATGCCATGTTTATGTAGCTGGAAGTTCAAAATCGATGCCTCAAGATGTAAGAAGTGCTTTTGTTGCTGTTTGTATAGAAAAGGGGGGTTTAACACCTGATTCAGCTGAGGAATTCATAGCAAATATGGAAAAATATAATCGTTACCAACAAGAAACTTGGTTTTGATGTTAATTTAATGTAGACAAAGAAAATTGTAAAAATTGTTATTTATTCTTTATTACAAACTAAGATTAATTGAACTACAGTCTCCTTTATTTATTTATTTTGTGATCTACATCCTTACTTTTTTAAATACTTCAAATATTTCTTTGAATCAAAATCGTCTTCTAAATCATCTTCAATTTTAACCTTCTTTTTAGGTTTACGCCTATCCAAACGTTCTTTACGTTCCGCTTCACTTAACGTCCAAATGTTTATCGGAAGCGTTATTATTTGCCGAGGCTCATGATACCTTATTGTGTAAGTCGAACCATCCGTATTTACCATTAACGTTGGATAAGTTCTCAGGTAGTTTTTTCGGTGAGGTTTTGTTATTGTTGCTGATAACGAATTTAAATTTCGTATTTGATTTAATAATATTTTTAATGACATAATTTCCTCAAACAAGTTTATTTTGAGAAAAACCAGATAGGTTATGTATTGACTAAATGAGGTTATGACAGACCGATATAAAAGCAGGACTACCAACCTAAAATAAATTTAACGTGACTTTTCATTTTTCCTCCGAATTAAAAAACAGAGTTGAGTATAATAAAATAAAGATCTTTCAATTTCTTTTTTTTTATATAATATATTTTTCTATGATTGGGGTTAAAAATAGAACTCTACTTCAAGAATTATTAGAAATTAACTTAACCTTACTTTTATAATAGAAGTTATAATTTTTGACAGTTGTCAACAAAACGTCATTTGAACCAAAATAGGATTTTTTTTATCAATAGGAATAAAATAAATACTCAAGATGTACAAAAGTAATCTATTATGACAACCATTAAACTTGTTTTTTAATCTACATCAATAAAAATTGAACCATGACAAAACAAATAATCATTCTTTAAACTGACAATAATTAATTGAACAAAACAAAACTACTTCGAACGAGACCAAGTCAAACGTTTTAATTGCCTGATAAACCCATCATTAGGTCTAGCAACAACCCTCACACGTTTCACAACATCATACGCTTCATCATAATCTACACCATCCTTTAACATTAAATACCCAATCACAATAGCTGATGATCGCGAAACTCCAGCGTTACAATGTACCAAAACTCGTCCATCGTTTAAAACAACCATATCCAAAAAATCAAAACAATCATTTTTTAGTATTTCAGTGATATCAGTTTCTGGCAAATCCAAACATGGGGTGAATTTGTAAATGATCCCTGCATGGCGTTCAACTTCAATTCCAACACTCAAAACGTAATTGATTCCAAATTTTTGTAATACATTAATTTCGGTACAATCTTGAGACCCCAAGAAAATATTTTTTGTGATTTGTGATGGAATGTTATCTGGTTTGGTATCGATAACAAATCCATGGGAAGTTTCTTGAAGCGGCGTCATGGTGTTGTTGTCTTCTAACAATTTGCGACCATCAGCTTGTGTAATTATGGTTGAGGTGTGTTTAAGACTTTTTTTTGAATTAATTAGTGAAGATAAGAAACTCATTGCATTAAAAAAATAATATTTAACGGTGGGTACTTAATTAGTTTTATATATTGAATTATTTATTTATCCATGGATGGTGTGCGGCTTCTTGATTTACTTCTTGACTTACTTCTAGATTTACTCCTCGATTTGCTTCGAGATTTACTTCGCGATTTACTTCTCGATTTACTTCTCGACTTACTTCTTGACTTACTGCGTGACTTGCTTCTATTTTTACTTTGCGAACGTGATCTTGATCTTGATTCGGGACTATCGCGCGATTTTGATCGTTTTAGTTGAGACCGCGATCGCGACCTTGATTTGGATCGTTCAATTGATTTCTTTCTCGAATTAGAACGCGACCGATCGTCGGGCGATTTCTTTCTCGAATTGGATCGCGATCGACTCTTCGATGATTTTGAGCGACTTCGAGAACGACTTCGCGAACGCGATTTTCTTGGTGAGCGACTTCTCGACCGAGAGCGACTGCTATAAGACCCGGAACGACTACGTCTACCACCGCTTCTATCTTCGACTAAACGGATTCGACGTCCGTTAATTTCGGTGTCGTCCAATTTCTCCAAAGCATTTTTCATGTCGGAGTACGAAGCGAACTCCACGACCCCTTCGTTGCGATGTTGCTTGTGAGCGTCCGCGTAGGTCACCTCGCCGGCTTGGCGCATATAGTCCTTGAGGTCCTGCCATGAGACTCTAGACGAAAGGTTCTCGACGATGAGACGGTAGTTGGTGCGGGTTGGGGGGCCGTAACGTTCATGGGAGCGGTAATCGTTGCGGCTGGACCATTGGTCTCGGCCCCTGGGAGTTCCGCGGGCCTTTTCCACAGTCACACGCTCCCCTAAAATTTTTTTACCGTTTAATTCATAAACTGCGTCGTCAGCATCTCGATAGTCATCGAACTCAACAAAGCCGTAGCCATTTTTAATTAAAACGTCGCGCATACGACCGTAACCCCTGAAGAAATGTTCCAGGTCTCGCTCTGTGGTCCCGTACGGTAACCCACCGACGTACACCCGCGTCCCTACCATACTACCTTTATTTTTTTAAAGAAATTTTTTAATAACTCACTTCGTGGAATGTCCCCCTATCCGTCTCTGAGTAAGATACTTCGCAGAGGTAGAGGCCGTGGGCTGGTACTGTTTTGATCCTGGGGTCCCAGCTGTGGTGCGAAGGCACCTCTAGCATAAATTTTATATCTCTAGTTGACACTTTACCTTGTGCTGCTGCTATCAAAGCGGCCACCGTCCTTCGGACCTGTGCGGATAACGAAACAACGTTACAAAACTAAATGCCTAAAAAACTACCTTTTCAAAGTGGCCATTTTGGACCTCCAATCGGTTGGCCGCTATATTTTTGAGGTTAAGAAACGTGTCCGAATCAATTGTCAATACAACAACATATTAACTAATTTCAATACGATAAAAAAACAACGATCAAATTTGTGTTAGCTTACAATTAGTTTATGACGGCAACGGAGTTTCTTCGTTTATATTTTCTAAATTTAAAACGATTTTCGTATGACGCACGATGCTTTGCTTAGCCGGAAAGGAAACCAGAACGTTCTAATTGACGTGAAGTTGGCGCGCGTCGACTAATAGCGTCACCTAAACTTTTTTCACTTATCCCAAATTTATTTTTTATTCAAATGAATCGTTTCGTATCTTAAATATTGTGTCTAAATCAAATTTAATACATTTTGTAATTGTTTTAAGCGCATTTTTAATAATAAAATTTTAAAAAATCGATAGGACTCCGGAGATACCAACATAATTCAACAACAACATTAAATATCACTATAATCACAAAATTATTAATTACGCAACACTGAAGCAAAAAGTTGCCAATCAAAATCAATCAAAATTATTATCACATGAGAATGATAAGAATTATTATTAAAGTAATAATTTATAAAAAATATTGTTATCCTTTTTCGTTGTTTTTTTTTTTATAAAATTGCCAAATTTCGTTGACATAAAAATGTCAAATTTTTTAGGGAAAATATAAAACATAACCTCAATTTTAATCAAGTAAGTTTAATTGATCGAAGGAGCGTTTAAATTAATTTTGATTTGAAAAAACTCATTAGCGTTTTTTCAAGTTTTATAAAGCTACAATTAATTAAATTGTAGCTTTATAAAACTTGAAAAAATTTGATTAAATGTTGTTAATTAGGTATGCTAATAATTATAAGCTGAAGTTGATCAGCTGAAGATAGAGATGTCTCAAAAATATGTACTCATACTTTTTGTATTGCAGGTGTAATTAATTAATCACAGCATGATAGGAAATCATAATAGAAGGTTTATCAAATAAGTGATTTATCTAAAGCAAAGATAGTGTAAGACCTCATTCACTGTTAATATTTTCAAATTTATTGCTATATTAAGTTTTAGCTAAATCTCAAAATTATTGTATTGATAGATAGTAGACACATAAAATTTAATTTAATTCAATTGTTATTGAAAATTTAGTTTAATTTAATAATTAATCATGAAATATATCTTACCTGATTATAAACAAATGCATTTCCTTTACAATAAATATTATAAAATTTATAATCGCTCTCATTTTGATTAATACAATTGGGCCAACTAAAATTTGTATAAAATCTATGTCCTTCATCAATAATATCCAATTTTTCCACAACTTTCCTAGTTATTTTATTTTGCTGTTTAGAACCTCTTCCCATAAACGTACGAAAATCATGTAATCCTTCAAATAATTTACAAGCATCTTTAGCTTTATCAATATCAAAATCGTTACAACAAATAAAATAGGCCCTATTATGTTCTTCAATTGGAATTAACTTATCTAAAGTATTTCTTATTAACCCATTGTATTTAATTACACATAATCTATACATATAAGTTCTTGATAAGGCCTCTCTTCGACAATGAAATGTATTTGGAACCAAATAAGTACTTAGTATTCTTATCGGAAGAAACGATTTTGAAAATTTTTTATTTAATTGTATTGTTATTGTTTTTGGATCATAAGGTTCGTTATTTGGTCTGGTTAAATCGACGTGTAAAGTTGTATGTAAAGCATGGACCCCGGCATCTGTCCTAAAAATAAAGAAATGCACCCACTATTTTAATTTCAATTATTTAGGTTATGTACCGACTAGAAACTGCACATGAACTCATATAACTTGGTTTTAATAGTTTTAAACCCATTTCGATTTGGCCTTGTATCGTTGTAGGATCATCAATGTCTACAGAAGGAGTTTGTCGTTGAATACCACTAAAAAATAATTTTCCTTTAAGTTAAAATTTTTTTAATTTTATTTTAATTACCGAAATCCCGTTCCTATATAAGAAAGATTAATTAAGTAGCGTCTCATTTTTATTATTTTAATCTAATTACCACTGAGAAATATGTTAAAATTATAAATTTGTTTTAATTTATTTATTTTCTATAGGTTATGAAAAAAATGTGAGGTTAAGTTCTTCACTAAACATGAAACGCGTGGGGTCAGTATCCCAACCAATGAGAACGTTCCATTTTAGTCACGTGGGTTGTTATAAACGCGATCTTGTTTATTTTGGTCTTCAGGTCTCGGAAAGTCGGTTCCAGTCAGTTCGTTTAGCGCCGCCGCGAACGGATCGTTCGTTTCGGTCCCCATTTAATTATTTTATTTTTTTCTCTCCATTATCCGTCTCAAAAATTTATCTACAACAACCCACATAAACTATGTAAACCGAAAAATAACAATCGAATTTAAAATCTAAAAACCGCCATTTAGAGCTTGCTGTGATCCGTTTTAAGAAAAGAGTTATATTATGGTGGTGTTTGAGTGTTTGAAACTTGATTTTTAGCGTTTGTGGTGTTTCGAAGGTGAATTAAAAGAGATTTCCACTGGTGGAGAATGTTCGGGGTGTTGAAGCGTAGATGGAAGCCCAAAAGGTAAGATTTTTTTAAGAATGAGGAGTTCGTACAGCTGTTTATTGATCCGGGAATTCGGTTGGTACCACGACCTACATGATGAAACCGGACACACATCGATATTTATACATTTTTGAGGTTATCTTTCGAAAGAGGCGGAAATTAAGGAACGATTTTAAGTGGTCCATTTAAAAACTTATCGTGTTTAGAGTTTTAACTTAAAAAATTAATTTTTTTTAATATCAAAAATGAATTAACTAGGTAGATATGGAAACAAAAAAGAATCGAGATGGTGTTAATATTAAAGTTAAAATTAGATTTTTTTTGAGGTTAGGTTTTTAATGAATTAACTTTCTCTTTATTTATTGTCTTCAAGATTTATTGCTTAAAATCAATTTGCATAAATTATCTCCGAATCGCTTATAATGAATGTGTTAATTTATACAGGTGGCTTTTTTAAATATTTACTGTTGCAAAATAAACTTTAAACAAATTGGTGAGATTGTGTTATATTTTTTGATTACAATGATAAGATTGTTCTTTATTATCTATTGTTTGATACAAATTTTTGTGTTAATTTTAAAGAAAAAATTAAATTATTTTTTTTTGTTTCTATTTTAGGTTGGCATTAAATTATGTTGATAATATTTTGACAAGAAATGTCAAAAGGTGATGTTTGACTTTTTAAATTAATTAAATCAAGCATATTTCTTCTTCCTCTTTTTAACCCTGGAAAGTTATGCTTATTTTTTATACGAAAAGGTTATGATGATCTAAGCACCAACAACTTTGTAAATCGATTGTATACCGGGAATTTCATATAATTCGCAATATATGAATGCAGTACGAAACTACCATGCACTTACACTGTCCCACATAAAATGCAACACAGCTTAATAGTACAGAATTGGAAAAGGTGACGTCCTTATAACAACTGTGAGTTTCCGTCTTAAAAGATGCACGGCTAAACTCGTATGTTTCTGATTCTAGGTCTAGTGTTAATTCTACTTTTCGTTTAATAAAAATACACCACAATCTAACGCTGAATAACAATTAAAACTAGAACTAACACTATACCTAGAACTAGAAACATTCGGATTTAGCAGCACATCTCTCAAGACGGCTAATCCCGAATGATTCTTTTTCTAGGTCTTGTGTTAGTTCTAGTGATAGTGCATAAGGTCAAAAGCATTCATAAGATTTGTGAAGCACATGTATGCTGTTTTGTATCTGTCTAATTGGAAAGATGGCGTCTATAGTTGACCTGTTCTTCCTAAAGCCTTGTTCTTCGCTTAACTCATGAAAGAATATTTCTTCTTTTCGGATTTTTGTGAATAGCTTTAGCACTGAACCTGAGTACGTGCAGCTCGTTTGGTGGTACGCTGCCTCCGTGCTTCAACAGCTCTCGTTGGATATTTCATCTACTCCAGAAGACTTGCGATTATTCAATTTGGGATCAACTAAACACTGTCCAAGGTTCTCAACTGCTGTCCCGTCTCAAGATTAGCTGTGTTGTTGTCATTTAGTGCTATTTTTTTTTTCATCAAAAATATATTTTTAGATTAAGAAATATCTTTATCATAGTTCTATAACAAAGGAATTGTATGCCGTGAGTTATTACCTACTTAAACCTAATCAGTAACGCTTTACGAGCCTTTTGTTCTGCAAATAAATCTATGGCCTCGTTATAATTAATTTGATGTGCGCTTTGATTATCAATCGCCAGACTTCATATACGTTCGTTACTCATTGTTAATGGATAGATTTTAATAAGATGGAATCACTACAACTTCGTTCACAGGTTGAGGTTGTTCTCGGATGTTTTTGGAAAGGTGTAAAACTAATCCACCAATAAAAACTAGTCTTGCACCTAAAATTTTTACGTTTTTAACAATATTAACTTGCTAAAGTTTAAATCATAAATATTTTGTCGGTTTTGTAAAAGAATCTCTTTGGGTTATATGCAGATATTTGATACACAACACTACCGATAAGGTAAAAACGTGGGATGGTTACGATCTTGTCTTAAAAGCCTTCTACCCACCGCCTTCGTGGGACCAACCTGGAATACACATATAAATGCAGGGAAAGTGTTGGATTTTTTTTGTTCGTTTTAATTCTCTTAACGCTGCTTAAGTGCTCCGTATTCTTTCTTTAATTACAATATTTTAATTCTTACCGATTTATTTATACATTTATTTCAATTAAAATTACATAACCACCTGTATTTACGAAGATTTAAAATGTAAAATATTTTTGTTAACTCAGTATCTGAAAGTTATTAATTTCGCAAGAATTATTTAAACAGCGTTTAAAATAGTTTAAATATTCTAATTGCGGTGTCATTTAGCGTTTACACACGCAAATACCTCCGTTAATATCACTCGTAATTGAATAATCGCACGGGAAATATTCACTACCACAAAGAAACGGCGATTTTCTTTCCTTTTCAGGTTTGTCTTTACCACAAACTGTTTCTTCGAACTTCCTCAATTTAACAATTTCCGTTTTAATACGATATTTCATTTCCTCTTCGGACATAATTATTCATTTTATTTTAATATTACCAGTTTCTTTTTGTGGTCGGAAAGGATGTCATATTTTGACGTTTACGTACTGTCAGAATTATCAACGAAGTAGTGCCAACCTAATTAGTAAATATTAAAAATAATTAATTCTTTTATATAAACTAACCATTATTTTAAAGGTATAATTTATAAAATTGTTTAATTAACTTTGGATATTAATTTATTATTATTTTAACTAATAAAGTTAAAATTATTATAAGAAAATTGCGGTGCCAACTTAACTAATTTAGTGTCAAAACTGACATTTCTTTCCTTTTAGAATATTTTTCTTTAACTTCCTTTCTTTAATAATTTCCTTCTTAATACGATTTCCTCTTTCCTACAAAATGACTCATTTTAACCTTTTCTTCTATAATTCTTGATTAATTCCCAATTTCCTGTGCTTTTCCTTTTTGAGGTTGGAATTCAAAAATAATGAGAAACGTCAAAAAGATATAAAGGATTTACGATTGATCTGTTTTGATTTCTGCGAAGGTAACGGAATGAAAACACTTGAAAGGAAATTGTATAACGAGTATATCTATCGCCAAGGTGTCTACTTCGGTGGCACAATTCGAAAGCTTTCTCGGTGTCCGCAATTATTATTATACGAGAGGAGGGGCGGATGCGTGGGCCGGCGGATAACGGCCAATTCCGGATCGGAGTTATGTAACGACGTTTCAGGTTATAAGGGGAACAACATTGTCTTCTACCCACGTAAAATTTATCTACTTGCCTACCATTTAAGGGTTAATTTTAAAAGAATTCTATTAAACTAAGAATTAAAAGTATTCTGAAAATGTTGTTGATGACGTAGATGGCGCCTTCTTATTTTTTTTTTGGTTTTGGCATTAAGCCAAATCGCCAAGGATCTCAAAGTCCCAAAATAATTCGGTTCTTCGATGAGGCAAAAAATTAAAACAAAAAAGGAGGCTACCGGAAGTGAAAATTGGAGAATTTTCGAGAGCCAAATTGAAATTTAGAATGGCGTTGCAATTCCATGTCATAACGAATATATTTCTTCAACATTTTTAGATCCGAACAACTTTATTCATTTTGAATAAATCTTACTTTTATTAACTGTTACAGGATATCTTCTTTCTTCTCATCCAGATCGATTTCAATCAAAATTCGTATCGTTTTTCAATCAATCAAAATGGTATCTGATTACTTTTACATCTTGTTCCTTTTTTTTTGTAAATTACTTAGTTTACTCTTGTTACTTAGTTTATCGGCGGTTTTCGCCTCTTACAGAGGAAGGGGCAAAACTGCAAGATGTAAGTACCTCTAGAGATGTCTGCCCAAAAATAGAAAGTACAGCAAGTGCAACGCAATGTCTCTCTGGTCGGGCGTCACGCAGTCTGATCCGTCTCCGGCCCCACGGTGCCGTCCGAGTTCGACGACCTCCACGGGACCGCTCTCGACCAAACATCTTCGTACTGACTCGGTGAGTCACCGTGGATGTGGGCCAAAGAAATAATTTTAGACGAAAAAAAACATCATTGAGGAATCATGAAAATTCAATTTTAAATTGTAAAAAAAAGTAGTAATGTTGTGTTAGGTCATAGAACTGATGTAACCTATATAAACAAGTATATAAAAAGTAAAGATATATTTATGGATCTACTTACGTTACATGATACTCTGCATGGATATTGACAGTAATTTGTCATGTGTAAGACGTATCTCTTATCTTGAAAGCGGTATCAGGTAGTCTATTGGCAGTGATTTGTCTTCTACAAACATAGTCTGGTCTTCAAGTAGCAGTAATTGGTATTGGGTCAAACAGTCTTTTAAAAATAGTTTTTAATCTGTTGTTACCAGTATCTGGTCTTCTAAATACCGTTCTGTAACCAGTTTGCAGTCTTCAGCATGAAGTATCTAATATTCCACCAAGCAATATTAAGTTAAGAAGTATCTAGTCTTTTGGCGTTATCTAGTTTTTTTGCCAATAATATCAAGTTTTTTATTAGTAGTATTTTTTTTTTGTAGGAAGTACATAGTTATCAAGCACCAGTATCTAGTATTGTACCAAAAAGTCTTCTCTAAATAGTATATAATCTGTTTGTTGAGGGTATCTGGTCGTCTAATTGTATTATCTTCCGTAGTCAGTATCAAGTCTTCTGGAAACAGTTTGTAGTCTTCGGCATGCAGCATCTAGTATTTCCTCAAGCTGTAAGCAGTCTTAGCTTCTTCTAGTAGTATCTAGTTTTCTGTCAGCAGTATCAATTCTTCTATTTTAGCAGTGTTTTGTGTTTTGCCAGCAGTGTATAACCTTTTAGAAGAGGTATCATGTCTTTTACAAGAAATATATGGTCTTCAATTAACATTATTTAGTCTCCTACCGGTTGTATCTAGTGTTCTGTTACGACCATCTATCTATTTCTACTATCTTGCTTTCTGTCAGCAGTGGGTAAACTTCTGAAAGTAGTATATGGGATTCTAGGTCTCTAG